GCGGAGCTTGCAGTGAGCTGAGATCCTGCCACTGCACTCCAGCCTGGGCGACAGAGCGAGACTCCGTCTCAAAAAAAAAAAAAGGATAAGTCAAGGATAATTTAAATCTAAAATTTACCATTTTCTTCTATAAAACATTCTTGAGGACAAAAGCAAAGTAAAATTGGCTAGTTTAAGATGCATCTCTGTCATCTTTTACCTAACCCACGAAAAAGTACAAGTGGTCAGTGAGTAAGGCAGAGACAAAGACTATGAAGCCAATGAATAGTCCACAGATTTAACTGCTCTATTGACAGCTTAAAACACACAGTACATGTAGCGAGTGGGAGTTACTTTATCAAGATCATTAACTTACCATTGTGATCCTAAGGTTCCAGTTTCATTGCTGAAGTATGCACCAAACAACGGTGGCCTGAATCCACTCTTTGGCCCTCAACAGGTAGCCATGCTGAACCAGCTATCCCAGCTAAACCAGCTTTCTCAGATCTCCCAATTACAGGTAAGCAGAGTCATAGTCTTTCTTAGTACATATTTATGGAGCATCTACTGTATACCAAACACTAGATTCTGTGCAGGATATAGTGCACTAAACAAAACAGGCGTAGTCATAGCCCTCATGGAGCTTACAGTCTATCGGGGAAGACAGATCATGAACATCTGTGAAGAATGTTTTGAAGAAGTGCAAAATGCTGTGAGAGGAGGCCTCAGCCAAGTCTGGGGTGCTAGTGAGAGTCGGATGTTTAGGAAAAGTTTCTCTGATTGAAGTGGAAGTTTAGATTGAACTAAAAACTGAATTTCAGCAGTGACTAGAAGCCAGAGAGTCCAAGGAAGAGACTGTTAGGCTAGACATGTTGGCATTGGGTAGATCACATCATGCCTCTGTAGGTCCATCTGCTGTCGTCATTTGGAAGCACACGACTTTGTAATGGTGTGATAGTAACAACCTTCTCGCCATCTTTCCTCTAGCGATTGTTAGCGCAGCAGCAAAGGGCGCAGAGTCAGAGAAGCGTGCCTTCTGGGAACCGGCCGCAGCAAGACCAGCAGGTAGAGCCAGCCCTCCAACTTGTGGTGCTGTCTTTGTGTTAATAAACTCTGCTTATCTCCATTCTAGCAAGAGATTCAGAAGTGTCTTTCTTAAAACAATCTTACTAAGATATAATGAAGTATGTTGTGCATTAAGTCTGCTGGTTGCCCATGAGTTATGTGAACATTATACAGTGATTATTCACCTTTCTGCTGTGAAGAAAGTGAATTCAAAAGTGAAGAGGAAATACGTAGTTTTCTGTAAAGACTTTTTCCCCCAATAATTTTTTCCAATCATTTAATTGTTTTAAGGGTCGACCTCTTAGCGTGCAGCAGCAAATGATGCAACAATCTCGTCAACTTGATCCAAACCTGTTGGTGAAGCAGCAGACTCCACCATCTCAGCAGCAGCCACTCCATCAGCCAGCCATGAAGTCTTTCCTTGACAATGTCATGCCCCACACTACACCTGAGCTGCAAAAAGGGCCATCACCAATAAATGCTTTCAGCAACTTCCCTATAGGTGGGTTTCTCCTTGGTCCAAGCATTGGACTGATGCTTCGGTATCACAGGCATGCCTCCTTCACACGTATCCTTACAGCTCTGTTCCTTCGTGAAAGCTACGTTGTTCTCTTAGCTGTTCCCTCTCAGAGAGTTGCCATCCCCTCTCCTAGTTTTAACCTGCTCCATGTTCAGGGAAGTTCTCTCCCTTCAAGAAAATCACACTGTTTGTTTGTTTGTTTGTTTGTTTGTTTTTATTTTTACAGACAGTGTCTTGCTCTGTCCCCCAGACTGGAGTGCAGTGGTGAGATCTCGGCTCACTGCAACCTCTGCCTCCTGGGTTCAAGCGATTCTCACGCCTCAGCCTCCCAAGTAGCTGGGATTACAGGCGCGCACCACCACGCCCAGCTAATTTTTGTATTTCTAGTAGAGTTGGGGTTTCACCATGTTGGCCAGGCTTGTCTGGAACTCCTAACCTCAGGTGATCTGCCTGCCTTGGCCTCCCAAAGTGCTGGGATTACAGGCATGAGCCACCGTGCCCAGCCTTGAAAATCACACTATTTCAAAAACTCCACACTCATTTAAAGTGCATTAGAATAAAGGAAACATTTCACTTTTAAAAGGACTAGTTGTCTTAATCGTAGGATATTAAGGGTGAGAAGGCTGATATTCTTATTAGAAACAGTACACCAGAGAATTTTTGAGCAGTGCTGTTTTGGTGAAACAGCTGGGAAGGGTCACAGTCACATTTGCTAGCTCTCAGAACTTGAAGTTTTAACTATTGTCTGTGTATAAATGATTACTGATACAAATAAGAAAATGGAGGTAAGAAAGGGGATTGCCTTTCTTATACATGCAACTCCCCACCCCCACCCACTCCTTTTTTTCTGTGTTACCTCCAGGCTTTTATTCACTGAGTGGAGATTTTGGGCTTACATGTTTTCTCTTTCCTAGGTCTCTTTTTCTCTTGTGCCCTTGATTATATTTTGACCCTTGATTGATCATGCCCTGTTCATTTTGCTGTTTTCCTCTCTCTCTTTTGCCATACAGTGGTTTCTTGTAAACCAGCTTTGTTGGTTGTTAGCCAGAGTATTTGAAGACCATCAGTTAACTAGCGTGTTCTGGGCTGTGGGCAGAGGCTGGGGCATGCTGTTGCCCCTGCTGCTGCCTCACTCTGTGACTGAACTGGTTTGGCTCACCCCGGTATTACCACAGAATCTCACCTGGGACATAAATTGCACTTTGAGTCCTTAGGATTGTTAGTAATCTCTGTGCATTTCCAAAAACAGTTCCCTTGTCAGTTACTACTGTGGGTGAATACTCTAGAAGCCATTTAGTGGTGGCCAGGTGATGTCAGAGACAACAGTTAGTACTAAAAGAATGATATCCAAGTACAGAGAGAAGTTTCTGTCTCACCAGTAAAGGGAACTGGCTCTTCCTATTTGACTATACACTTGACATATAAATTGGACCACGTGAGTTCTAAGTATAGGATTTCCTGCCCTGGCCGGCTTTTCAGTGAGGGATACTTCTTGATTAAGAAAGTCTGCTTAGCCCATGCAAACACCAATACAGTTATCTAAGTTGAGCAACAGGCTACGGCCTGTTGGCCTAGTTTGGCCCACTGCCTGCTATTGTAAGGTTTTGTTGGACACAGCCACATTTTCTCTAACATGGGGTCTGTGGCTGCTTTTGTGCTGCACCAGCAAAGTTGCATGGAGACACCGGGACCATGTGGCCCACAGAGCCTGAGATACCGGCTAAACCTCTGCAGAAAAAAATTGTCAACTCCTGATGTGATCGATGGGTCCAAGAGTAGCAAATTTAATTGCTCTGTGCAAAAATAGGTATAGTATTAGAGAATTCATATTATTAAAGTTTTCAGGTTTGACAGACCTTAACATCACATGGACTCATCAGACCAGAGAATTTAAAACAATTTAATTTGGAACTTTAGAATAAGAACCTCCTGGGAATTTGTGAAATAGAGATTCTGGCTCCCACTGGAAAGTCTTCATTTTTAAATAAGCGTTTTAGGTGATTCTAATATTAATAGTCCCTAGATTACTATTTTAAGAAAAACTAGCTTAATAGTTTTCTAACTACTGTATCTAAGGTTGAAATTTCCATTGTTGTTCCAAGAGAATATCCAAGTCTGAGGGGCCTCATCAGCAAAGGTCAAGTAAATTGTGCCTTAAGATATATCAGTCCCCCCACTTAGGTGTAATTGTTAGTGCAGGACATTTTTACTTTAGAATTTGCAAGCAAAAGATAGCAACTGAAAGTGACCACAGATCTTCATGCATGGTACACTTGGGAAATAGCTAAACAGATACATTTTATTCCAAGTAAACTTACACATCTGGCTTCCTTAAAACTTTTCTCCCTCTTATTTTGCCAAGGAGTTTTAAAATCATCAAAATTTTATGGAGAAATATTTTCTACATATAACTAAATTATAGTATTAACAGTTATATGGTTTGAAAACATTAGATTAGTTACATGTTTTTCTAGGAAATAAAAGTTGTGCTACTAGAAAGAAAACGTGCTGTATTTTCTAAGGTTTTGTTTTGTTTTTTAATTTTTCAGGCTTGAACTCAAACTTGAATGTAAATATGGATATGAACAGTATTAAAGAGCCACAGTCAAGACTAAGGAAATGGACGACAGTGGACAGCATTTCTGTGAACACATCTTTGGATCAAAACTCCAGCAAACATGGTACAAAAGATTGTTAAACAATCTTACCCAAAAAAACAAAAAGCACACCTGCAGAATACTAGATTTAGGCCTTTATTTTATTTTAAATATGTTTTCAAAGCCAAATTATCTTAGAACTTTTCCTCATTTAAAAAAAGTTATTATTAAGTCTTAGTTAAAATAAGAGACTTTCAGATGAAAAGCAAAATTTACCTCTACTCTGTTTTATAAAGGAGAGATCAGATGATGCATTTTTAAAAATTATTCTTCCTTTGGCTTTTTAAATTTTTCTAAGTGATTTTATTCTTATATTACTACACTTATTAACATTTACTGGATTTAATTTGATATATATCTTAGTAGTACATTTAAAACTTCTACCAGAGTCCCATTCCGTCACCCAGGCTGGAATGCAGTGGTGTGATCTTAGCTCACTGAAACCTCTGCTCCCGGGTTCAAGCAGTTCTCCTGCCTCAGCTTCTGGAGTAACTGGAACTACAGGCCTGAGCCACCACGCCGGGCTAATTTTTGTGTTTTTAGTAGAGACGGGGTTTCATCGTGTTGGCCCAGCTGGTCTCAAACTCCTGACCTCAGGTGATCTACCCGCCTTGCTCTCACAAAGTGCTGCAATTACAGGCGTGAACTACTGCACCTGGCCCATAAATTTTATTTCTATCAATTCCTTACATATGGACAAATTTTCTTTATATATCTTATTGCTATGTGTAAGTCATTGATTTAACAGTATTGTCTTTTCAGGAATTACATTTTTTTTTTTAGAAATGCCATTTTCATCTTATTTAGTATTATCCATTCACCCAGCAAATATTGATTGATTATCTTCTGCTTTCCTAGGCTGTGTTAGCACCTGGAATACATAGACACATATGTACATACATGTTCATAGTTGAATGTATGTATGTATGTATGTAAAAATCCCTGCCCTGAAATTGTTCATTGTGAATGAAAGTATATCAGCAGCTTTAGTACAATGCAATAGGTAATATCAAAGTTAATATTTATAATAGTTTAATAATACAAAGTTCCTTAGGAGCATTGAGTCAGGAATAACTGCAGGTGTGGTGGGTCTGGAAAGGTGAGAAAGACTTACCTTGAGAAGAGTAAATTTACCAAACAAACAGGAAGAGCAACCAAGAGAAAATAGCACATGCAGGGTTCAAAGAGGACTGCCAGGTGAATTCTGTATCTGGGCATATCTGGGGGTGAAGGTGAAAATGACAGAAAGGAGGTAGATGAAGATGGAATGGTAGGTGTGGTGCAAATCATGGAAAACTTTCGTGCCATGAATGATTTTAAACATGAAAGTGATGGGTGCCTAGAGGCAGTTAAGACTTAAAGTAGTCTAGGTAAGAGAGAGAAAGGTCAGTGGACATAAGAGGGAGTACACTGAAGAGAGTTTCAGAAATTAAAAGCAGAAAAGCTTGATAACTCCCTTAACTCATTCTTTCATTCAGCAGTGTAAGCCTGAAACACTTGCATAACTGATCAGCTAGTCTGTCTGCAGCCCCCTCCAGACAGACCCCTCAGAGGTCAGACAAATACAGGATGGACCCGAGTCTCAGGCAGAAAAGAATAGGCGTTCACCGTAAATCATATCATTAGAGTGGCCTAGGTGTAAGGCATGCAGAGGCACTCTTAACTGGCAGAGTAGTCCATGAGCTTGGAGAAACACAGGAGCTGAACAAGCGACAGTCCTGGCACACTTTAGAATGTGCAGTCCAGTCTGCCACACTAACCCTTCGCTGCACACCTACAGTAAGAAAAGTCTGGTTTGTTAAGGGGAGTGGAGGCAAGCACATTTGACTAGGAAATTCTGCATTACAGAAGGGTTAAACTGGATGTCTGAGATACCCTATGGCCCTGAGATTCTGTGACTTCCAGGCAGTTTATAAAATCCCTTCACCTCAGCACCCAGATGAATTTGGTGACATGTATAGAAGGAGATTTTTTATTTTAGCCTTGGTTGTAGGCAGTTGGGCAAGGCTTCCAGGAGGCTTGTGATCTCTGAAGCTGAGATGTGAAAGATAAACAGAAGTTAGGCAGGCAGGGGTGAAGGGAGGGGAAACCATGAGAGCTGGGGCGAGGCTGGACTACTGTAAACTATTGAAGACTATTGTAAACTATTGAAACTATTGAAGAGTTTGAACATTGTCTTTTGTGTGTTGGAGGGAATTAAGCCAGGAGATGACATGATCAGATTTGCACTTTTGAATGATGCCTCTAGGTGCAGTGTGGAGAATTGGAGTAGATCTAGTATAGTCATTATCCAGGAGCTGTGGAGGAAGTGGAATTGACAGGGCTTGGTGATTCTAGCTTAAGCAGCCTCAAATCTGTGATTGCTATTTAAATGATATATTTGTGACATTCCCTTTTTTTTCTGTTGAATTATACTTTGAAAGTTTATTAACTAAACTTTAAGGTCAGATTTCTAGATTGTACACATTGGACTAATGATTTTCAGAAATTAAAATTGTCATGTAATAGAAGGAACCATTAGCCCGTAAACCAAACAGACCTTTGATTCTAAGTTGGTTTGCCATTCAGAGGAATATCACTTTGGGATTTTTCTTTTTTTTTGACAGAGTCTCACTCGGTCACCCAGGCTGGAGTTCAGTGATGCAGTCTCTACTCACTGCAACCCTCATCTCCGGGGTTCAAGTGGTTCTCGTGCCTCAGCCTCCTGAGTATAGCTGGGATTACAGGTGTGTGTCACCACACCCGGCTAATTTTTGTAATTTTAGTAGAGACGGGGTTTACCATGTTCGCCAGGCTGGTCTCGAACTCCTGAACTCAGGTGATCTGCCTGCCTCGGCCTGCCAAAGTGCTGAGATTATAGGCGTGAGCCACCAGGCCCAGCTGGGAATTTTTCTGACCTGAAGAGTGAAAACAGGGAGTTGAGACAATGGGGAAATGGCAAAATAAATATGAATCCTAGGTTTGAGACTTAGCTCTGCTACTAATTGACTCTGCTATTTCAGTCGTGCACCACTTAATGGCAATGTTACAGTAAACAATGGGCCATGTATCCAACAGTGGGTCCATTGAGCTTGTGATACCATATTTTTATTGTTCCTTTCCTGTTTAGCTATGTTTAGATACACCCTTCTGTTACGGTTGCTTACATTACTCAGTACAGTAACACACTAGGAGCGGTAGCCTAGTGTGTTAACACTAGGAAGTTTTCATAAGTAGAAAATGAAGTTTTCATAAGTAGAAATTATTCTAACACACATGTAGCCTAGGAGCAGTAGGCGAGGCCACAGGGCTTTGCTGTGTAGTGGGCTGTACCATCTAGGTTTGTGTAAGGGCGCTCTGATGTTCACACAAAAATGAAATCACCTAGTTTCTCCAAATGTAGCCCTGTTAATTGACACGTGATTGTAATTAGCTACTTGGCAAGTAACTTAACCTTTCTGAACTTCAGCTCCCTCATCTGCCAAATGGAATTAATAGTACCTCTTGGGCTTTTTTTTTTTTTTTGAGACAGGATCTCACCCCAATTGCCGAGGCCGGAGTGCAGTGGCACAGTCTCAGGTCACTGCTGCCTTGACCTCCCGTACTCAGGTGATCCCCCTCCACCTCAGCCTCCCGAGCATCTGGGATTACAAGCGTGCACCACCACGCCTGGCTAGTTTTTTGTATTTTTACTAGAGATAGGATTTTGCCATGTTGCCCAAGCTGGTCTCAAACTCCTGACCTCAAGTGATCCCCCTGCCTCAGCCTCCCAAAGTGCTGGGATTACAGGTGTGAGCCACTGTGCCCGGCCTAGTTTTATTTTAGATTCAGGGAGTGCATGTTCATGTTTTTACACAGGTATATTGGATGCTGGTGGAGATTGGGCTTCCAGTGAGCCCATTACCCAAATAGTGAACATTTTACCCGAGAAGTAGTTTTTCAACCCTTGCCACCCTCCCCACTTGTGGAATCCCGAGTGTCTATTAATAATTTCCATCTTTGGGTATCTATTGGTTAGCTCCTACTTAAAAGTGAGAACATATTTTATTTTCTCTTTAGTTCACATAGGGTAATGGCTCCCAGCTCCACCCATTTTGCTGCAAAAGACATGATTTCATTCTTTTTTATGGTGGCCCTCTTGGGATGTTTTAAGGATGAATGAGACGATGCATCTCAGGCACTTAGGTGCTGGAACAGGGTTAGACACATCAGTGGTCAGCAGATCATAGCCATCATTGCCGTTACTGCCTTTATCACTATCTCAGCAGATGCCCTACCTCCAAGACAAATACATTTCTCCACTGTACATTTAGTTCCGTGTGCTTAAACTGAACCTATCACATAGGTTTTACATTTCATTTTCCTGATGTTCCCCTTGTGTTGATTAATGAAATAAAATTGCACCCTTGCTGCCTCGTTATATCTATTTGCCTTTGATTAAATGAAGTTTTCATAAGTAGAAATTGTTCTTACTAGAAAAAAAATACATAATTACGTATATCATCTCAGGTATAAGAATTAATCACTTGAAATGTGGCAGTTGTGCTTGCCTCATGTATCCTGTACAGCCATTACTTCATTTATGTCCCATTTCACTCCCAAGTGGCTTTAATTCTGCTTATAGAACAGATACATAGTTGACACAGATCAGAGTGAGAAGATTGAGGACGCCAGAGCCAAAGGGGAAATGGAAGCTGTGGAGACGCACTGAGTCAGGGATAGGTCAGTGCCCACCAGTGAGAGGTGCGAGGCCCTGTCGGGAACCAGCTCCATCATCCCTGAGTTACCCATGTGCATCCTGGCACATTGTGACTTGAAGCCAGAGGAAAGAATGGGGGCTGGAGTGGCATGTAGGGCCCGGCTGTGTGTTATGGATGTTCATAGTGGGGGCCGGCCGGAGTTGCGAGCCAGGTTCTATTTACATCGACCTCAAACTCAACATGAACGGAGGAGACTTGGTTTTCCCTTTCAGACTCAGTCCTTCCAGTGTCAGTGGGTTGTACCTCCGCCCATGAAATGATCGAAGCTAGAAAACGAGATATTATTTTTTTTTTCTTTTGAGATGGAATCTTGCCCTGTTCCCAGGCTAGAGTGCAGTGGCATGATCTCAACTGACTGCAACCTCTGCCTCCCGGGTTCAAGTGATTCTCCTGCCTCAGCCTCCCGAGTAGCTGTAGCTGGGACTACAGGCGCCTGCCACTACGCCCAACTAATTTTTGTATTTTTAGTAGAGACAGGGTTTCATCATGTTAGCCAGGGTGGTCTCAATCTCTTGACCTTGTGATCTGCCCGCCTCGGCCTCCCAAAGTGCTGGGATTACAGGTGCGAGCCACCACACCTGGCCCCATTCTTTCTTTTTTAACAGTTTATTGAGATATAATTTACTTATAATTCAGTGGCTTTTAGTATATTCACGGTGTTGTGTAGCCATCACCGCAATCCATTTTAAAACATTTTTGTTGCCTAAAAAAACCCCTGAGTTACCAGAGCCCTCCACCATACAACTGTTCTAATGATTTGGAAATAAGTTTGTGCTCATATTCTGGTCACTTAATGATGTTTATGTCCCTCATAAACTTGAAATTCACAATGGTCATTTTCAGACATTCTTCAAATGAGATGGTAGAATCTCAATATAAAAGAGTTACTCTAGAGAACACAGCCTAGAACCCACAGATCTAATGGAAAGTGTTCGTGTTACATTTGAGGAGCTATAAGAAGTAAACCTTTGTGTATTCTGCTCACATTTCTCTATTATTCTTCCCTTGTTAGGTGCTATTTCAAGTGGTTTCAGGCTGGAAGAGTCTCCATTTGTTCCCTATGACTTTATGAACAGCAGTACTTCACCAGCCAGTCCTCCAGGTTCAATAGGAGATGGCTGGCCACGTGCCAAATCGCCTAACGGCTCTAGCAGTGTTAATTGGCCACCAGGTAAAATTTTTTCTAACACTTTCTTTCATGAGACTGTGTTTCCATTAAGGTTTTGTTACATCTGGACTTAATACTGATGTAGCCCAGATTGGCGTTCTTAGACTGACGTGTGTGGATGAGAAGGAATGCAGAAGTGATAGAGGAAAAGTTAAGCATGAAATCTTGGGCAAGTGAGTGTGTCAGCCTGTCACCTATACCTTTATGGTCAAGCAGCAGAGGTACAAGTGAGTCCCATTGACCAGCGTGAAGAATTATATTAAAAACTTCAGGCCGGGCACAGTGGCTCACGCCAGTAATCCCAGCACTTTGGGAGGCCGAGGCAAGGATCACGAGGTCAGGAGATCGAGACCATCCTGGCTAACACGGTGAAACCCCGTCTGTACTAAAACTACAAAAAATTAGCCAGGCGTGGTGGCAGGCGCCTGTAGTTCCAGCTACTTGGGAGACTGAGACAGGAGAATGGCGTGAATCTGGGAGATGGGGCTTGCAGTGAGCTGAGATTGTGCCACTGCACTCCAGCCTGGGCGACTGAGCAAGACTCCATCTCAAAAATAACAACAGCAACAAAAACTTTAATTCACTGCTTCTCTTAAATTGTGTCAGGGGGTAACTTGCAGTATTTTCATTCATACATGGAGTTACCAGAAGTGCTTCTGTGGCCTGCTTTCTCCTACCTGAGTTGCAGTAGCTTTGTGATTTGTCTTAAAGCTTAAAGGACTTTTAAATGTTACTGTTTAAAAATACATGAATCTGGCCGGGTGCAGTGGCTCACGCCTGTAATCCCAGTACTTTGGGAGGCTGCGGCGGGCAGGTCACGAGGTCTCAGTAGATCAAGACCATCCTGGCTAACACAGTGAAACACCATCTCTACTAAAAATACAAAAAAAAAATTAACCAGGCGTGGCGGCGTGCACCTGTAGTCCCAGCTACTCAGGAGGCTGAGGCAGGAGAATGGCGTGAACCCGGGAGGTGGAGCTTGCAGTGAGCCAGGATAACACCACTGCACTCCAGCTTGGGCAACAGAGTGAGACTTTGTCTCAAAAAAATAAATAAATAAAAAATATATGAATCACAGCCAAGCACGGTGGCTTATGCCTGTAATCCCAGCACTTTGGGAGGCTGAGGCGGGAGATCACTTGAATCCAGGAGTTCAAAGCTGCAGTGAGCTATGTTTGCACCACTGCACTCCAACCTGGGTGATAGAGCAAGACTCTGTCTCAAACATGCGTACATATATATATGATTTTTTACACACATATATATGTGTATATATTATGTGTGTGGGTGTATACACATGCAGAGAGATGATTTCAGTTTTTAAAACTTGCAAGTTATTTGTAAAGAATAGCTTCTATGATACTAATTGAACCATCCTCTTAAGAGTGTTAGTATAGGCCGGGCGCGGTGGCTCAAGCCTGTAATCCCAGCACTTTGGGAGGCCAAGACGGGCGGATCACGAGGTCAGGAGATCGAGACCATCCTGGCTAACACCGTGAAACCCCGTCTCTACTAAAAAAAATACAAAAAACTAGCCGGGCGAGGTGGCGGGCGCCTGTAGTCCCAGCTACTCGGGAGGCTGAGGCAGGAGAATGGCGTAAACCCGGGAGGCGGAGCTTGCAGTGAGCTGAGATCGGGCCACTGCACTCCAGCCTGGGCGACAGAGCGAGACTCCGTCTCAAAAAAAAAAAAAAAAACAACAAAAAGAGTGTTAGTATAAATTGGAAAGTATTTGAGAGTTGCATAGAATTTAGGAATAAAGGTTTTGGATATTTATTAATGGATTTTGAAATGATGATTAAGCTTTGAACTAATTTTAAATTTCCATTTCCAGAATTTCGTCCTGGTGAGCCATGGAAAGGTTATCCAAACATTGACCCTGAAACTGACCCTTACGTCACTCCTGGCAGTGTCATAAACAATCTTTCAATTAATACTGTGCGGGAAGTTGACCACCTCAGGGACAGGAACAGTGGTACGTAGGAGGTGCAAATCAATTTCTGAGTGACACTTAACAACGCAGTTTAAGAATGGCTCATGTAGTACCCAGCTACTCTGGGAGACTGAGGCAGGAGGGTCACTTGAGCCCAGTAGCTTGAGACTAGCCTGGGCAACACAGTGTGGGACCCTGTCTCTTTAAAAAAGAAAGAAGATGAAGAAGAAGAAGAAGAAGAATGGCAGACAGAATTCTCCCTGTTCCCATAGGTGGCTCTTTAATTTGGCTAGTTTTTAAATGATGAGGATTTTATCATCCCTTAGTATGGCAAATATGTATATTAATTTAATAAGTTAACACAAAGGACCAGCAAATCTTTGCTTTCCAGTAGTTGTATTAACGGAATGAAAAAACAACAAATGAAGGTTGTTACTAACTTTATACTGAGTTACAAGATAGTTATTTTTAAAATAGGTGTTTCTTATAACAGACATTATTATTATATACGCTTATATACTCTGAATATTGAAGGACTTTCACCAGGAAGAGCAAATTAGGCTGTCTTTCAGAGAGTAAGAATAAGACCAGTTTAAGGATCCCTGCAGTCCAGATGTGCTTTTTAATTGGTTAGCAAATAAAACCATCCTATTACCTGCCACAGGGTTACTTTTCACCTCAAGGCATTTACACGTGTTTCATCCATGATTTTGTACCAGAAGAGTGTTAATGAAATGAATTTTTTAAATATTAAAAAATATTTCCTGTCTTTTTAAAATACCGTCTATCCCTTTACACAGTTTATAAAGCAAATGTGAAGCAGCCACCATGTTGCATTAGGCGTGTAATTTACAGAGGTAACAAGTGTCTCTGCACCAGCGGAGAAGAGTCCTCAGCATTGTGAAGTGGCTGAGTTTCACAGACAGCTCTGCCCCCTGGGGGGGACACTAAGCCAAGCATAAATTCTCGTGGTGTGGGAGTTAATGGAAGAATCCGATGGCTCTGAAAGTCAGGAGAGTTTGGATTTGATGTTAAAGGAAATAGAGCATTGAAGGCTTTGAGTGGAAGAATCTTTAAGATGGAGTAATCTGGCTGTGGTGAGCAGAGTGGATTGGATTGGGAGACTAGTCAGGGAACTGGTGTAGTAATCCAGATGGTGGTCGGGGTCTAGAGTTCAACTAGTAATGGTCAAGGGGGTTTTGAAAATGGGAAGGCACACCTGGTTTGGGAGCCTGAATATATTGCGTAATGGAGAAGACTGAAGGGCCTGTTCACTGGTAATGTCTGTGATGGGGTGCCTTGGAGAGCAGGATAGCCAGTAAGAAGTCACTGGAGCTCAGGGGCGAGTTAGGAGCACCAAGACTCGAACCTCCTTTTAGACCCAGTGCTGGGAAGCAGAGCCGAGTGCTGTCATGGTGGCTGGACCTCATTGCTAGAGCACATCCTCACAGCCAGTGAGGACAAAATCAGAGGGAAAATGCCTATGCTGAGCCAAGGCAGAGACAGTTGGCAAGCTTGCCCAGCATGCTCTTTTGAAGGCAAGAAGGAAGATGTCTCGGGCACCATCTTACCCTGAGTGGGTCTGTTTCCTTTCTTGTGGCATACTGTTAGGCTTCGATTTCTCTGGAAGCTTTTGCTTTTTCTTAACCTCCACGTCCCTTGCTCTGGTGGCTGATTGGACTCTTCCCCGACACAGGGTCATCCTCATCCTTGAACACCACGCTGCCTTCAACTAGTGCCTGGTCATCCATTCGTGCCTCCAACTACAACGTTCCCCTCAGCAGTACAGCACAAAGCACTTCAGGTGGGCCTCGCCTTTGCTCAGGAAGGGAGGGTTGGTCACAGCCAGAGCTGTTTCTGTTGTTTTAATGCCCTCTTCTTTTGTCCAGTCTTCTCAGGGAGTTAGGAGATTCTGTTTATGAGCCTGGGAAATTATTTTTAACATCACTTGTTCCTTTTTAAACTTACTGTACCCAGCGGTCATCTACTAAAATCAGTTTTTACTTAACAGCTTTCACTCATATCAGAGCCACAGCAGCTCTGTAATTAAATGTAATTTAATCCAAACTAGTTCTCAGACTATCTGCAGCGAAGGATCTTAAAAAAAAAAAAAATTGCCCATCCTCATAGACTGATACTTTTGTAAAATACGGTAAACATGAATTCTGAATTGCTAGGAAAATAATGGCACACTTTAGAGCTACAGGAATGTCAGGTTGCTGTCTGTCTATACATGCGCACTCTGAATTTCTGGACTCATCCTGCAGCAGATTAGTATGAAACTGTGTTGTGGTGTTCTTCCAGCCATACCCTGAGTAGCACTGACCTGATGCACACGCACTTTGTAAGTGAAGTAAGAAAAAGAGTTGATAGTGATGGAAGATAGGAATGGTTCCACTCCTTGCTGTCCCCCTCAGGCTTTTAGCATGATAGTTGATGTAGTTTACTGTATACCTGGTCCCTGCATACCCACTCATGTCTCCATTGTTGCGAGGCAGTATGCATCAGGATCTGGGCCTGCTGCCTGTTTCTTTCTTCCTTCCTTCCTTTCTCTGTCTCTCTCTTTCCTTCCTTTCCTTTCTTCCTCCCTTCCTTTTTCTTTCTTTTCTTTTCTTTTCTTTTTTTTTTTTTTTTTGCCCTACAGGCTTAGTTTTGAATCCTGGCTCTATATTAGACCCATAGGCAAATTACTTACCCAGTCTGTCCTCAGTAGACTGTGTCAGGACCACAGACAGCGCATGCCAGATGCCCAGCAGCCAATGCTCAGCGCAGAGAGGCAGGCACCCTGTGAAGATCTCCTTTGGCAGCTCCCAAGTTGGGGCTCTTTTGCAGTCCTTTTTTCCTTGAGTAAACAAGAGAGTTCTAAAATTCAATTAAATGGCCTACCTGACTTTCTTGAGTGACTCAATTATGGTTAGTAAGAAGTTCACAATTGCAATTTTAGAGCAATTCAGATTGTTTTCCATTTCAGTTCGAGTACAGTTTGGGACACTGGCCTAAGAATTTCATAGGTCTTTACAGCTGTTAATAACAGATCAATGGCTTGAGTGTTTGGAGGGATGGAAAGCAGTTTCCTTTGGGCGGATTTTCTTTTTTGGCAGTTTAGTTGATTTGGGGGTTTTAATAGTTTCTTTTGTTTGTTAGATTTGCCTTTTGTGGGAGAATGGATGTCATTATTTAAATTTCCTCATTTCTTAAACATTATCCCTCCCCTCTCCATTTTTTTCCCCCTTTGAGTAGCCAGAAATAGTGATTCCAAATTGACATGGTCTCCTGGTTCAGTTACAAACACCTCTCTGGCTCATGAGCTGTGGAAGGTCCCTTTGCCACCTAAAAACATCACTGCTCCGTCCCGTCCACCTCCGGGACTGACTGGTCAGAAGCCACCCTTGTCTACGTGGGATAATTCTCCCCTTCGTGTAGGTGGAGGATGGGGAAATTCTGACGCCAGATATACCCCAGGTAAGATGCAGTACCTAAGGTGGTTTTCTGTGGTTATTTGTGAAACGCTAACCAGTGCCAACAGTCGAGTTTAACAGAGACCTGAACAGTAAACTATTGCCTCACCTCTGTCAGGGGGAGTGAGAACTTCAGTAAACAAATGATCCACCCAAAGGTAAACAACAGGCCGCAGTAACGTTAATGCATCGGGAAGCTCCATTGTCTCAGAAGTTCCTCAAGACTACATCTTAAAATGTGTAGTAACTTCCTGCTCGTGGCAGAAAAAACCACATAACATGGAGCAGAAGCCAGTGTTGGGCAAGTCTGGGAACATGCGAACAGGTCATGTGGGCCTTGAAGAGTAGGGGAGTAGCTTGGCCTGTATTAAACGGGGACATCTGAGAGTGAAAGAGGGTGCTGTTGACTAATCATACGCAGCCAACAGGCATAAGCCAGAAGCCCCGGCAAACTGGTTCCTCTGCCTCTCCTCATTCTATAAATGACTAACGTTGGATTTGTACTGGCATCATTTCCTGCCTGTGCCGTCCCCACACCATACATATACACACACTGCCCCAGATGAGCCTAGCAGTTTCCCCGGTAAATACAGTCTTATCCTTCACTCTACCTTGCCTGCAAACTGTACCAAACGTTCCCATCTTCAAGCTGAAAATGAGTAATAAAACCTCGTTGATATTTCTGATTAAATGTGTAATTTCTGATCTTTAGACAGGTGACTGGCTATAGGAAAACTTGCAGCTTTTCCTTTGTGTGGGGGTTAATTATAGGAAAAGAACACTAAAGTACATGCCAAGCTACTGAATGTAAGTTAACGTAATTGGTGTGGTGTGAGTGGTCTTTGCAGGCCACAGACATCTGTCTGGATGCCAGCTAAGAGACTGGCAGCACACAGCGAGGGGTGCTAGTGAACGTGGCCCAGGAGCCCACCCCAGAGAGGCTTGGTGCAGTTGAGTGGAATCAGCAAACCTATAGGAGTAAGCCAAGCAATCCAAGGGGCAGCCTCTGCCAAGGCCCAGACACCTGAGAAAGCACAAAGGCTCCCGTTGGAATGAGGAGAGGATTGCAGGGCGTGGGGAGGATTCCATGAGAGGTGGATAGGCCTGAGCTGTGTCATGGAACGGTCTTTCCCAGCACCTGAAGCATTTGTGAGGTGCCTTGGGTTGTAGATGGGGTCGGGGATGAGGGCTGTACTCATCCAGAGTAGAGACCAGATGGGGAGCCCCTGCGGTAACCCAGGTGAAAACAAGGAGCGTCTGTGCGATCGCAAGCTCTGGAATCCCCTTAAAGCTTCATGCCCTGAAGGACACACAGGCAGAGTGACCAGACATTACTGAAGTCTTCCCCAGATGATACCGTTTGAGATGATTTTAGCTCCTATCAATGAGAAGATCTCAAAGAGATGCAGCCTTTTGTGGCTCACTGCCCTCCTGTGTGGCGAGCTGGGAGCCATTCTGAGCTCACTCTCCCCAGAGGCAGAGCCCCCTGCCGTGGGAGTTAATGCCTCGCCATGGCTAGGGCGAACTCAAATTCTGGGCCTAGGGAGAAAGCCTCCAGTGTAGAGGTGCAAGGATGTGAAGGAAGCCAAGAGGCCAAGTGATCTGCTGAGTAACTATAGTTGGACTCTTTAAGTCCTAGAAAACTGACTTGTCCTTTTTTTCCTTGCTTAGGTTCCAGCTGGGGTGAGAGCAGCTCAGGGAGAATAACAAATTGGCTTGTTCTAAAAAACCTTACACCTCAGGTAAGTATATGAGATAACACTGGTTTATGTGGCTATGCCAGGGAGCATGGGAACAGAGGTTCAGGTCTGGGTGTGAGACAAGGGCTGCTAAGTGGTAGTGAGGCCTGGCAGAGGAGTGGTCTGTAGACCTCAGGCAGGATGTGGTCAAATCTGGTGGTTCACGCTGTAATGTGCCTGGGAACCAAACAAAAATACAGATTCCCAGGCCTCATCCAGAGATTGAGTCAGTAGATCTGGGCTAGGAGCTGGGACTCTGCATTTGTATAAGGGCCTGCAGATGAATTTGACGCAGGTGGTCCTTGTTGGCACGTGGAGAAACCCTGGTCTGTCCCCGAGTTGAGAGCATTTTTTTAGCCCCTGGCCCACCCCCTCCTCTGGAGGCTGGGTGTTGAGCTGCCACCTCCCTCCTCCTCCAGGAAGCATAACCTTGATGGATGCTGTCCTCAGGGCAGGGAAGAGAGAAGAGGTGGAGCCACACAGCAGGGGCAGTGCTTCATAAGGAATTGGGGGTCTGGGGAGTGTCCAGGAGTCTAGAGGCCGGAGCAGTATGACTCTGAGAGCAGTGGCGGTGGGGAAGGTGGCTCTGCACACCGTCAGAGCAACATCAGAGTGTCAATGAAGAGTGGTACCAGGAGCACAGAGCCTCAGGGAAGAGAGGAGGGGCAGCAGTACAGCCTGGAACGGCCTCCTGGAGGGCCCGCGGTGATGCCTCTCACTGGTGGTTTCCACACTGTTTCCTAGATCGATGGCTCAACTCTGCGCACTCTGTGCATGCAGCACGGCCCACTGATCACATTCCACCTGAACCTCCCTCACGGAAATGCTCTGGTCCGCTACAGTTCAAAAGAAGAGGTAGTGAAGGCACAAAAGTCTCTGCACATGTAAGTTGGCTGTTGGGCTCCCAGCTGGAAGAGTCTAGGGAAAGGAGTTGTGTGAGAGCACAGCCTGGCCCGGGGCAGCGCACGGGGTCCTGTGTGGGTGGCTCCTGTGGGCTGCAGTAGTGCCCTGATTCCAAGGTCAGCACTACTAAGCGGGGAATCGGACCTAGCCAAATGGCCCTAGAAAGTCCTTTACATTGCCCACGGGAGACAGAGGAAGTTCGCTCTGGTCAAGGCACCAGGTCCTGAAGAGCTGCGCGCACGCTCGGGTGAAGGGAGGGCACTCAGGTTATGTGGTGTGGTCTCTCCCTCTGCGCCTTCTGTGGCTTTTCTAGCAGAGACAAGTTGCGGCCTCACTTGTGAGTGAATGAAGCCCTCCTGGCGCGCTGTCCTCATGTGTCCGCGGTGCCTCTCTCCTCTAGGTGTGTACTGGGGAACACTACTATTCTTGCTGAGTTTGCCAGTGAAGAGGAGATCAGTCGTTTCTTTGCACAAAGCCAGTCTCTGACCCCTTCTCCCGGCTGGCAGTCTCTCGGGTCCAGCCAGAGCCGGCTGGGCTCCCTCGACTGTTCCCACTCATTCTCCAGCCGGACCGATCTCAATCACTGGAATGGTGCTGGGCTGTCGGGAACTAACTGTGGAGACCTTCACGGCACTTCACTCTGGGGGACCCCGCATTATTCCACAAGCCTGTGGGGTCCTCCAAGCAGCAGCGACCCCCGAGGAATTAGCAGCCCATCTCCCATTAACGCTTTTCTTTCTGTTGACCACCTGGGTGGGGGTGGAGAGTCCATGTAACAGTGTAGATGCAGACTCACCGACCGGGACCTCAGACGCGAGGGAAAGGAGCACTAAGTGGGGCTCGCCGCCTGCAGCCAGGGGCCGCCTGTGGGAACAGCTATTCTCTGCACATTTTCCACTTTGTTTTCCCCAAAACATATCAGTTTGAATACTTGAATCATGCAGGCCAATATTATAATGTGAAAAGGTATCTACTCTATTTACACTCCCAAATAGCGCCATACATGCTAAACCGTAGAGAATGAGCTCGCTTGTGTCTATTCATCATGTTTAGCCTTTGGATTCTTTTTTTTTTTTCCTTCTATTCCTCCTCTCCTCCCCTTTTTTTCTCTCTTGCAAAACCATTTTTTGGGCTGATACCGTATGAGCTTTTCCCTTTGCACTGAATGATGTTCTCTCCGTCTCATCGGCAGTATGGGGGCAGCTGTCCCAGTGTCAATGTTTACTCAAGGGTGTTCTTAGGAGGCGTGCGCTCTCTACTATGCCTTGATGTTGCCTACCTTATTGTGGTATCGTGGAGTTTAAAAGATCAAGTTAGGACTGACTTAGGATTATTAATGAAAGTGTTGCACCAGTTTTTTCATGTTGTAAAACTAAAGAATTTCGCTCTGCAGTTTGAAAAACTGTGGCCACAGCTGTGACTTGCAGCCCACCTGCCACCCAGGACGGGCCCTGCACTTTGAATAGGCTTTCCATTTTGTTTTGGAGGTTCCCACGTTGAACCTTCTTGTTTACAGATTTTTTTGTTTGTTTTTTGAGAAAAAAATGTTTACTCTTCCATCATTTAAAAAAAATGTAAAAGACAAAAAAAAAAATGGAGGATGATTTAAAAGATGCTTTCTATCTCTGGGAAAAAGGAGCAGCATTTGGCCATGTTCTTTTGTTTTTCTATTCCTGTCCCAAATCAAAGAGCATGGTTCTCAGGAAAACCAGTTCCCCAGTTAAAAAAAAAAAAAAAAAAAAAAAAAAAAAAAAAAAACTCCTTGTAGTTTCTTATAGGAAAAAAACAAAAACCCCAACTTTTAGCACTGATACTACATATTGCTCTGTTAAAGAATTTTCTCTGCCAAAAAAGAAAAAAGAAAAAACAAAAAAACGCTTAAAGCTGGAGTTTGACATTCTGCTTTCAGATGCTGTCTTTTTATTAGTGAGTGATGATGGTTTGCTAATAATCAGTAGGTAATAATTTTTTGTAATCCCATCAAGTGGCTCCATATGTTTCTGCTCTCTTGTGACTGTGTTAATGTTTAACTGTTGTACCTTAAAGCCGAAATCAGTAACTATGCATACTGTAACCAAGGTATTGGGCTTACAGAGTTGTTTGTTGTATAAAGAAAATTTTAAATGTTGTTGCAAACTAACGAGTTACACCATTTTAAACTTTCTTTCCTCCCCCCCTTTTTTTGCCCACAAATGGTATTATAATGCTTGCTTAGTCAAAGAAGAGAGACTAAACAAGGGTAAAAATTTTAACAGTACAGAATTTGCCATCATTTCATTGCCTTGATTCTAACTGTTTGTGTCCTAAGATGCAAAAGAAGTCAGTGGCTTTTAACTGTTTACAAATAGAATGTGATTGTAAAATGTACAGTTTGGTTGTGTTTGAATTATGAAATTTCTTCGGATATAATAAACCATGACTTTTTGGCTGCTCAACATTAATTGTCTCCTTTTTGTGAATTTATTTGTAGGCTCTTTTTTATAATGAAAGTTTCAAAGTTGCTATGTATGAGGGTTCTCATAGAGCAACCGATTAAAAATTTAAGCAAATATTTGAACATTTTATCTGAACTCATCACAATTTCACCCTGAAATAATGTGAGAACAATGGGAAACTGTAGCTTGCTCCTTCCCACCCTCTCTGAGCATCTTTGGGATCTTGTTGCTCAAAACTCTTCTGTGACTTCATCTTCCCCACCATTTGTGCCCATCTCAAGCCTCAGCAAGAAACCATGTGGAACATGAAGCTTAATGACTTGACAGTGTACTAGTGTTAAACTCTCATACCTCTGTTACAAAGCGAGAAACGCCACACCCGGACTGGCCTTTTCTTCCCCCTTCACGGCCCTCGCTTCTCCCTGCAGGAGCTCGGGGGCGAAACCTGTGTATGGATTTCAGTGTATGACTTCAGATCATGCTCCAACTTGCCAGGTGTAAGCTAATGTTGTCGGACACCTTACTATAAGCAAATGTTATTCAGTGCGTTCAATGTATATTGACTTCCATACTGGTTTTTCCAAAAACCAAAGGTAGCTTTGAAAAACCATGTCTGGAAATGTTTGGAGCGTTAAGCTGATTGACCTTCTGACCTTGGGGCTTTGAGTAGTATATAATTCATAACTGCGTTACTTGTATTGTTAAAGTGTTTGGGAGTTTTTTGCGCTTGTTATGTGGAAATAAAGTGTTTGATTTAAAATTTTTTAAAGTGGTTTGGATCTTTGCCTAGTCCTTAAATAAATACAGCTCTGTTCCCTAAGCCACCATTACTTCTCGGTCTTAATCCCGACGGCCAGTTCCTGGGTGCTGCCCTTTTTCTGGCACAGACCTGCAGCTGACCATGCTGGGCCCCTGACTCGGGGCTTTCTAGTCACTCAGAGCCACCAAGAGTCGGGGTAAACTTTTTAACACAGGCACTTAATGCGTTTTTTCTTTCTTCCTTTTCTCTTTCTCCTTTCTTCCTTTTTCTTTCTGTGTTTCTTCTTTCTTTCTTTTTTTTCTTTCGACAGGGTTTCACTCTGGATCTCGGCTCACTGTAACCTCCGCCTCCCAGGCTCAAAGGATTCTCGTCCCTCAGCCTTTCAAGTAGCTGGGATTACAGGCACCTACCACCGAATCCGGCTAAGTTTTGTATTTTTAATAGAGATGGGGTTTCACCGTGTTGCTCAGGCTGGTCTCAAACTCCTAAGCTCAAGCCATCTGCCCATCTCAGCCTCCCAAAGTGCTGGGATTACAGGCGTGAGCCGCTGCGCCTGGCCTCACAGGCATTTATACATTTTCAAATATCCCTCCTTGTTCTGCTCCCCTGGATGTGTTCCCAGCTCTGATGAACCTCGGCTTCTCCATAGTGCTATGCTTTCCACCCTCACAGGCTGGAGGATAGCTTGCCCTGGACTTCCTTCCCCAGTCAAGAGTTAAATAGCTCCTTCCGTCATTTCAAGGAACTGTGCTAGGCCACCACATGCTGAACAGGCTCTCACTAGTCTTTGTAATCCACCTTCTCAGATCGATGATAGTGGCTGAATATTGCAAGGAATAATAGCTGAGCTGTCACCTGTTGACACCTGAGGACACGAGACTGTGGTAGGGCCATGCTGTTGGCTTGTGCAGGTGGATGAACTGGGGAATGATGCTAAGGTCAAAGTGGGGTCCTTGACCCAGAGGATCAGATTCAGGTTGAACAGCATGAAGGTAGGGACTGAGATGAAGGAGGAGTATTTGCATCAAGACTGAGGGATGGCCAGGCATGGTGGTGTCATGCACATCATCCTAGCACTTTGGGAGGCTGAGGTGCGAGGATCACTTGAGCTCAGGAGTTCGAGACCAGCTTGGGCAATATACTGAGACCCAGTCTCAAAAAGTTGGGAGGATGACAAATGGAGGTTGCACTGAGCAAGCCGTCTTAACTTTTGGCTAAGGCATCATTTCCATGCGTTGGGACTTAATTGGTTTTCCCTCTTCTCCAAAGTTCAGATCTTTTCCTGCTGATCCTTTGATTCCAAATGTGCAGAGGGGTGTCTCTGAACAAGAGCCTGAACTGGAACCCACATGGATGTTGACAGAGACCAGGCCTTCAGCCCTGGTGGAACTTGACCTGAATAGGTATTTACACGGTCCAAGGGAAGGGAGAGTAACGACACTGGTGTGCTAAGGGTTCTGTACATGCCAGGCATTTTTTTAAAAAGCTTTATTCTGCTTTAAGACAGTGTCACTCTGTCGCCCAGGTTGGAGTGCAGTGGCTCAATCTCAGCTCACTGCAGCCTCAACTTCCCAGGCTCAAGTGATCTACCTCAGCCTCCCAAGTAGCTGGAACTACAGGCGTGCACCACCATGCCCAGCTATTTTGTTGTTGTTGTTGTTGTTGTTGTTGTTGTCAGAGAGTATTTCACCATGTGGCCCAGACTGGTCTCGAGCTGCTGGGCTCAAGTGATCCACCTGCCTCGGCCTCCCAAAGTGCTGGGATTACAGGCGTGAGCCACCATGCCCAGCTAAGTTTTTTTCGTTGTTTTTGTTTTTGTTTTTTGTTATTAGAGATGGGGTTTCATCATGTTGCCCAGGCTGGTCTTGAACTGCTGGACTCAAGTGATCCGCCCACCTCAGTCTCCCAATGTGCCGGGATTACAGGTGTGAGCAACCACGCCCAGCTAAGTTTTTGTTGTTGTTATTGTTGTTGTTAGTAGAGATGGGGTGTCACCATGTCACCCAGGATGGTCTCACACTCCTGGGCTCAAGTGATCCGTCTGCCTCGGCCTCCCAGAGTGCCGGGATTATAGGTGTGAGCTACCGTGCCCGGCCCTGCCAAGTGCTTTATGCATTTGTTATTTTCCAGCCTGGCCCTAGGAACAGAAAACCACAGTGCCATTTGCACTGATGGACAGTGTCTGAAGTTGTCCACCAACATATCCCCAAAGCTAGAGGACACAGCATGTGGACCCCCCAGGGATCCAGGGGCAGAGTTTAAAGCTTGGAATTTTAGGTTAAGCTGCATGTGAATGTTGCATTCTGCTCCACATCTTTTCATCTAAAAATACTGCTTTAAATAGCCATTAAATTGCTTTTCTTCAAAAAGTCTGGTGCTTTCGGAAGGTGAACCACCCCACAGCAGGGTGCAGTCAGGACCCAGTTGCACTCTAAGAAGCAGGACTGAAGAGGTTCCTCAGAGCTGTGTTGACAGATCACAGGTGGCAGGGAGCCATTGGCTGAGCCCCGGCAAGGAGGCAAGAGAGTGAGTCCCACTGGCTAACAGTTGACCCCAGGTCGCTCCAGCCTGTGGGGAGAGCAGGACTGCAGTCTGCAGTTCCAACCAAGTGATGCCAGGACCTAATCTGCAGACCTGAACCCAGTACATAGACTTTGTTCTGATATTGCCGCATCCCTGAACCGCCTGGGTTTCCATCAATTTCATAGTCATAAAATCAACTTCTGCTGGGCATAAAGGCATGAGCCTGTAGTCCCTGAGGCTGAAACAGGAGGATTGCTTGAGCCCAGGCATCTGAGACCAAGCTGGGCAACATGTTCCACCTGAGACACCCAGATCAAAAATAAATTTTAAAAAAATTGTTTAATCAACTTCTCCAATTTCTTTACAAAGGTAAGTGGATATCATTGCCTTATACAGAAAATCAGTGTCCATATATAAAAGAGAGCTATACAAGAAGTAAAATGTATTCCATTCTGGGTAGATTTACTTATCAAAGGTGAGAAGAGAGGTTAGAAAGGGTTCAGGAGAGGTTAAAGGTGTGCTCTCACCATGTGGAGACTTCCTGCCTGATGGGGTCAGATGTGCCCCAGGGACACTGAGACTGTAGAGGGAGAGTTCTATGCATTTGTGATTCTGCCTTATCTAATCCTCTCCTGTACTCAACAGACCCCTCCCTCCCCCAGGAGTGCTGAGCCCCGGCTTTGGGAGGTTCGGGGGTGGGGGGACTCTTGTTTAGGGCTTTGGCTCTGTGTTCTATGGAAAGCACCCCTCAACCACTGCCCCCATCTCTACAGAGAACGGCTGTGAAGACGAGGCTGGGAGATGGATGGGGGCAGTGGGACCCCGCAGCACACTGGCAATCCCTGGTCACCGCTGCTCAGAACCCACCAAAGATGGCGTGAGCATTGGAGTAAAATACTCCTTTTTGAGGACGTGGTGTCCAAGAAGACACCTGAAAGATGGGAAGCAGCAGCCCAGCTTGGGGAAAGGACAATTCAGGTAACAGCCCGGAGCCCAGGGTGTCTGAGACAGACTGGGCAAGGGGGACAGTGAAAGGCGGCCACTGGGTCAGGCGCGGTGGCCCTCGGCTGTAATCCAGCACTTTGGGAGGCAGAGAGGAGAATCGCTTGAGCCCAGGAGTTAGAGACCAGCCTGGGCAATATAGTGAGACCCCCAGAGAATGAATGAGGGCAGGGCTCCAAGGCTAAGGCCATGCTTCCCAGGCCTGTTAAAATCACTTGTAAGTATCCCAAAGCTCAGGCCCCACCCCAGACAGTCTAATTTAATAGGGCCCCAGCATGTTTTAAAACCTTTACTTTTTTATAGCACATTACAATTTGCTATCACTTTGTTTTCCTGCTTTATGTCTAAATGAACACGTTCTCACGTGCACACACACACACGAATACAAGTAAAACCTGGGACATCTGAATGCAGTGAAACAGATGACTGTCAATCTCCTGGTTGTGATATTGTACTATTATAGTTTTTTCAAGATGTGACTATTGAGGGGAACTGGGTTGAGGGAATCTCGCTCTCTCTCCCAGGCTGGAGTGCATTGGCTCCATCTCAGCTCACTGTAACCTCCACCTCCCCAGTTCAAGCAATTCTGCCTCAGCCTCCTGAGTAGCTGGGATTACAAGCATGTACCACCACACCCAGCTAATTTTTGTATTTTTATTAAAGACGGGGTTTCACCATGTTGGCCAGGCTGGTCCCAAACTCCTGACCTCAGGTGATCCGCCCACCTCAGTCTCCCAAAGTGCTGGGATTACAGGCATGAGCCACCGAGCCCGGCCTATCGTAGATATTTTTAATGCTGCTCTTCCACAGATGTCAGAACTCCTGGTTTCCAGGTTTCTAAAAAGTAAAGTACAACAGATTCTTTGGCCGTTTTAGAGGATTTTTCCTTTTTTTTTTTTTTTCGCTGTTTTATGAATGCCTACCCATTTGAATATTGGCAAAGGAGTAAATAAGTTGACAACAAAAAGGTTTAAAAAAAAAAAAAGTCATCTCAGCAAGTGACCCCAAGACCCTTTAGGACCCAGTGCTGTGGTGAGGTTTGCTGGGGCCGGGGCTTCCAGTCCCCAGTGCCTGACCATTGATCTCTGGAGGCCCAAGGTGCAGGCTTCCCCCGGGTTCTGCTGTGACACCAGAACTCAAGCCCCTTGCCATCACTGCACTTTCTAGAGTCGCTGTGATGAAAATGAGATCACGTGATTAAATCCTAAGTGATTAAAATGAGACTTTTCAGGCATAAAGTTAAAGTTTATGGGTACTAGCAATGACTACAGGTCCTTATTGCATAAGCAACAAAAGGCCCATTCTTCTCTTTGGGAACTTGTTTTTCAGGTACCTGTATTTCATTTTGTTTTTAATTTTTTATTTAATAACATTGTTTGGTTTTATTGGGTTTTTATTCACCCCCTGTTGGATATGGCAAACAGCAATGGTCTGTTAAGGTTTCTTTTTTATTTTTTATTTTTTGAGATGGAGTCTTCTC